GCTTTAAAGGTTTTACACTTTATCAAATGGATGTTAAAAGTGCTTTTCTAAATGGTTATATTCAAGAAAAGGTTTATGTTAAGCAACCTCCCGGTTTTGAAGATCCATCTTATCCAAACCATGTTTATAAACTTTCAAAGGCTTTATATGGCTTAAAACAAGCTCCTAGAGCTTGGTATGAAATATTAAGTAGTTTTTTGCTTGCAAATGGTTTTTCTAGAGGAAGAGTTGATACCACCTTGTTTGTGAAAAACAAAGGCCAAGATATACTAATTGTCCAAATCTATATTGATGATATTGTGTTTGGTGCTACTAATGATTTTCTTTGTCAAGAGTTTTCCAAACTATGCAAGGTGAATTTGAAATGAGCATGATGGGTGAGCTGAACTTCTTCTTGGTACTTCAAATCAAACAATCCAAAGAAGGCATCTTCATCAACCAAAGCAAGTACACAAAGGAAATGCTTAAGAAGTTTGGCATGGAGACTTGTAAGCCAATAGCTACTCCTATGAGCACTTCAATTAATCTAGACAAGGATGAAGGAGGTAAGCCTATTGATCCTAAACTTTATAGAAGCATGATTGGTTCCTTGCTTTATTTAATCGCAAGTAGACCGGATATAATGTTTAGTGTTTGTTTGTGTGCTAGATTTCAAGCTTGTCCTAAGGAGTCACACTTAATTGCAGTTAAAAGAGTCTTTAGGTACCTAAAGGATACTCCCAACCTTGGTTTATGGTATCCCAAGGGTTCTTCCTTAGACTTACATTCATATTCGGATGCGGACTATGCAGGTTGTAGGATTGATAGAAAAAGTACAAGTGGAACTTGTTAATTTTTTGGTAATATGCTCATATCATGGTTTTCCAAAAGGCAAAATAGTGTTGCTCTATCTACAACCGAGGTTGAATACATAGCCACCGCAAGTTGTTGCGCTCAAGTGTTGTGGATGAAACAACAAATTTTGGATTTTGGCATTACTATGGATCATATTCCTATTAAATGTGACAATACTAGTGCTATCAATCTCACTAAAAATCCCATCCAACATTCTCGCACCAAGCACATAGAAATTAGGCACCATTTTATTAGGGATCATGTAGCTAATGGTGATGTTGATTTATTATTTGTTGACACTAAAAATCAATTAGCTAATATTTTTACAAAGCTTCTTGATTGTGATAGGTTTTTCTTCATTAGAAATGAGCTTGGTATGTTAGATCCTAGTGCTTGATATGATTCTTGAAATTAATGAATTTGCTTATTAAAATTTGTGCATATTGATTACTTTGATATGTGTACCTTGATTATA